AGTTTTAGCCACAGTTCTCAGTTCAGTTGTGGTTTAAGTAGTGGCAACAAGAGGTAGATTCTTTAAAACCTCATGTGAGGAGATAAACGGGCATGTCGCCTGGGAAGTGCTTTCTTTAAACAGAGCTCCCTTATGTGTTCTTTGGGGTACTGGAGATTGAACCCAGGAGCTGTGTGAGGTGAGCGCTCTCTCCTCGTCTTTTACCTGCTTTTCATAAGACCTTAGATAAAGGACCCCAATGGTGCAACCACAAGGCAGAAGTAGGTAGGCGAAGGGGAGCATGTCAAGGTGAGTCTTCTGCACAGCAAAGGAAATCAGAATGAAGAGCCAACCTGCAAAACTGGAAAAACATTCCCAAATTAGTCATTGAAAGGATTAATATCTAGAGTATATTAAAAAACAATAATAGAATAGTCCGTTAAAAATGGGCAGGAGGTAGGAGTGTGTTCAGGTAGAGGATGTGCTAAACATGTATGAGGCTGGAAAAGAAAGGGCAAATGATCTGAGTGGACATTTCTCAAAAGAAATACAAGTGGCCCACAAATGTATAAAAAATGCTCAGTATCAGAAGCTATCCAGAAAATATGTGTGTGAAATTTTCTTTCCTTCTTTTTTTTTGGAAGGGGGGAGTGGAACCAAGGATTGAACTCAGGCCCTTGTGCTTGCTAGCGAAGCACTTATTTACTGAGCCATCTCTCCAGTCCCTATCCAGAAAATATAATGCCTGTAATCCCAGCACTCAGGAAGGCTGAGGCTGGAGGATCGCTGCAAGTTCGAGGCCAGCCTGGGCTCCAAAGTGAGCTCAAGGCCAGCCTGAGCTGTGTAAGGAGATGTGTCTCAAAAAGATAAAGCAAAACAGGGGTGGGGGAGATGGCTCAGTAGAATAAGTGCTTCCCTGGCAAGCGCAAGGGCCTGAGTTCAATCCCTGGTTCTGCCAATAAATAAATAAATAAATAAATAAATAAATAATTAAAAAATAAAAATAAAATTATTTTAAAAAAAGATAAAGCAAAACAAAGTCTCAATGAGATACTACCTCATCCTGGTTAGAACAGCCCTTGTCAAAAGACAAAAAGTATGACAGGAAACAAGGGAGTGGAAAGTGGTTCTGTAACTCAGCATAGTCATTGTATCTAGGGGGCTGGCCAGGGAGACAGCTCAGGAGAATAAGTGCTTGCCTGGCGAGCGCAAGGGCCTGAGTTCAATCCCCAGTTCCGCAAAAAAAAAAAAAAAAAAAAAATCGTATGTAAAATTGTAACGTGTTTTTTTTTTGGTGCAGAACCGGGATTGAACTCAGGCCTTTGTACTTGCCAGGCAAGTGCTTATTCTACTGAGCTATCTACCTGGCCCTGTAACGTGTTTTAGCGTAATTGTTTTATGGGTTTTTTTGCCTGTTAGCCTGGCTATTCATCTGTATTTATGATAATTAGCTTGATAAAAACATAAAATACATAAATCTGATACTGGCAAAAAAAGAGAGAAGAAAAAAAACAACCAGAGGGGATGCCGGGTGTGGTGGTGTACACTCAGAATCCCATACTTGGGAGGCTAAGGCTGAAAGATTGGAAAATGGCAGTGAATTCAAGGCCAGTGGGGGTTACATAGTGAGTCTCATATTGAACTGTGTAATGGGACCCTTTCTCAAAAATAAAATATGACCAAAAAAAAAAAAAGGGCTGGGGATATAGCTCAGTGGCACAGTGCCTGCCTGGCAAGTGTAAGGTCCTGAGTTTGATCCCTGGTACCGTATGCTGTGCCAACCTGGACACTGTGCTGGCCCCAGAACTGGGCATGGTGACACACACCTGTAATCCCAATACTGGGGAACTGAGGATCACAGCAAGTCTGAACTGCTCTATCGAGACCCTGTACCAAAAAAAAAAAAAAAAAAAATCGCACACACCCCAAAAAGCAAAAACAAAATGGAGGGGGAGGGGAAGAAAAATAATTGAGATGTGTTGTATACATGCATAGTATCAATTCCCCACAATGAATGTAATCATTATGTACAGTAAACATACTAATAATTTTTTTTTAAAAAGACAAATCTGCCAGGCTTATACCTGTAATCACAGCTAGTTGGCATTGGGAGGCCAAGGCAGGGAGAATCTTAAGTCCAAGTCTAGCCTGGGTGACTTAATGAGACTCCACCTCAAACTGAAGAATGTGTTTGTTCAGTGGTAGAGCACTACAAAAAGAGAAACAGAAATAGTGGCCAAGGTGACCACAGATGCTGGAGGAATAGAGGGGAAAGATAATTCTTTTACTTTTTAGGTACTGGGGATGGAATCACGGACTTCACTCCTGCTAGCCAGGAGCTTTCCCACTGAACCATATCCCTACCCCTGAAAAGAGAGCTCTCGATGCGTGCTTTGTGGTCCTGCGGTCCTAGGGTACTTCCTTTGTGGTGAAGAAGGCTCCACCTAGAGTAGTAATGGCGAACCTTTTAGGGCTTTCCGTGATCCTTAGAGCGGTCTGCAGCACAAGTGCCGTAGGTTCAGGTTTGCTACTGCTACGTCCCTGTCCCTCTCCTTAAAAAACAAAACAAAAACAAGGGCCAGCCTGATAGCTCAGTGGACTAAAGTGCCTGCTTAGGCAGAGTGCAGCGGCTGGGGTTCGATCCCCCTGCGTGCCGTGATGGCCCCAATTGTGGGGCACACTGAGATGGGCAATTAAGACAGTGTGGTGGCATACATCTGTAATCTCAGCACTTGGGAGGCTGAAAACAGGAGAATCACTATCAGTCTGATGTACATAGTGAGACCCTGAAGACCCTGTAGACCCTGTCCTAAATACAGAAAAAATTTTTCTTTTTTTAAAATTTTGAGACAGGGTTTCAAAAGTAAATCAAAAAGTTTCCCAGCTTGTGATCTTCCTGCCTCAGGCTCCTTAGGTGTTGGTATTACAGGCATATGCCACTGTATGTGGCTTAAAATAGAACCATTAATACACTGTTGCAGAGAATGTAAGTTAGTACAGCCATTATGGAGATGAGCATGGAGGTTCATCAGAAAAACAAAATAGACCTACTGTATCACTAGTTATCCCACTTTTAATTATATGACCAAAAGAAGTGACATCAGTGTATCAAAGAGATATTATTATCCCTGGTACTGTATGCTGTGCCAGCCTGGACGCTGGCTTGTTAGTCTGGCTGTTAATTTGTTTTTTATTTTATTTTATTTTATTTTATTTTATTTTATTTTT